AGGTGGGAAATTGTTTGAGATAGAATCACAATAACATTGTAGGAATAGAGGTAAGTTCCAACTCTCTGACCTTTTGTCAAGGTGGAAGTAGGTTCACTGTTTTGGGCCTCCACAATATTTTAGTCGCATGAAAATGAGGAAAAATGGCATAATCTGTGCTGTGATTATGTATACTCAGAAAATCATAGGTATTTAGACTGGAGGCTCCATGTTTAAGTCTATATCTCCCATCTTCCATTTGCACAGTGATATAGGACAATGACTCTCTCTGAAACTTTTACTACAAGGGAAGTTGTTGGAAAAACTGAATTGGTGTTGGAGGTCCTTCAGATTATGTGTTGCTTTTATTGGTTAATGAATAAAGAAACTGTCTTGGCCCTTTAATAGGGGAGAGTAGAGCAAGGCAGGGAAATTAAACTGAATGGTAGGAGAAAGAAGGCGGAGTCAGGAGATGCCATGTAGCTTCCAGTGGGAACAAATGAGGTGGAAACTTGCTAGTAAGCCACAGTCATGTGGTGATACACAGATTAATAGAAATGGATTAATTCTTGATGTAAGAGCTTGCTAGCAATACCCTTAAGCTATTGGCTAAAAAATATTATAAATACTATAGTTTCTGTGAGTTTATTGTGGGACCAGGTGGGAAAGAAACCTCCTACAACAAATTGGTGCTTCCACATGGACAATTGTATCCACATAAAACCTGAGAAAGCTTATAAAGGAACTCTAGACACACACACATGAAAAAAAAAAAAAGTTTTGCCACATTTTGTCTTTTATCTGCTGGCCAGCCATAACTCCCTTAAGAAAGGTTTTCCTGATTGAGCAATAGAAAAAAAAAAGTGTGGTTTTGAAATGGTTGCTTCATTGGCCGTGCGGCCAGCATGAACTCTGGCTCTTTTATGAGGCCTGGCATTTAAATGGGGTTGTGAGAAAAGTGTTACAAACTGTGTAATGACATGACTTAGACTTGCTACACACTGGGGTAGTTTGTGTGGCTTGCAGAGGCAGTAAATATATCTCTGATATGATGGACTTGGCAGAGCCAAAAAGTCAAAAGAGCCTTAGTCCCAATAAAGCTTCTTTAGCATTTTAAGAATTGCTTCTGGTCAGAAAGTGATTACAGATACACAATAAAGGCAGATTCATATTTTAAAAAAGACCTCTAAATGGATCACAGTGTTGGATAAATGTACAAAGGCTTAGGGGGACGGAAGAAAAAGAATATAGAGAGTGATAAAAAGAAGAAAATAGTTATAAAAATAAAACGAAGGTTTTAAAGAGACAGAGTATAAACTATCATAGATAAAAAGAATAAGAAATAATGAGTAACATAAAGATGGAAAATACACAGTGAGTCTGGATTATGTATATTATTGTGTATTCTTTGATTTTTTTTTCTGTGAAGGAGCTAAGTACAGAGAGACTTGTATAGGAGGATAATATAAACTAACCTGTATATGTTAAAGTCATTTTGATATCAATATCAAAATTTGGGTATAAGGATTTGTTGCTTTGGAAAAGAGGTCCTGCCTTTGTTTTCACATAAGATAAGAATCTGTGGATTAATTCCAGACAACGGTGGTTTGATGAACCAAGATCAACCTAAAAATAACCATGAACACCCATAAAAGTAGTTCATCCAACAAAAATCAGGAGGCAGTTTGGAGAGCACTACATCTATATTCCCAAATATTATGTATAAATGTTTGTTTACATTTAAAGGGGATATGCTGTAAATATTTGCATTGGTAAGGATCTTGGTTTATTGATACAAATTTTGGGTCAGTTTTATTATATGTATATTTCTGCTTTTTATTAAAATATTGTGTTTCATAGTTCATTCAAAAATGTAATGTATAATTAAGAAATATGGTAATTAGAGAGTCATATATAATAGTCAAGATTATAGTCATGTTAGTTAGGTTTACTAAATATATAGAGATATATTTCAGTTAGATTCTTCAAATCTTTCAGAGACCTTCGGAATGTGGTGTAGTAAGGAGGTGCATCCCACTGACTGGCTAACTTAGCCTCCGAAATAACCGCACAGAAAACTGTATATATTTAATTACTGCCTGGCCAATTATATCTAGCCTCTTCTTGGATAATTATTACATCTTGATTCAACCCATTTCTAATAATCTGTGTTATTCATTTAAACACTGCCTGTCCCATTATATCTAGCCTCTTCTTGGCTAACTGTCACATCTTGAATTAACCCATTTCTAATAATCTGTGTAGCATCACAAAGTCGTGGCTTATCAGGAAAGATTCTAACCTATGCCGGAGCCTCATGGCTGCCATACTTTCCTTCTTCCCAGAATCCTGTTCTGTCTATTCTGCCCACCTAAGGGCTGCCCTATAAAAAGGCCAAGACAGTTTTCTTTATTCAACCAATGAAAGCAACACATAGAAAGAAGACCCTCCTATACCAATGTGGCATTTAAATATTTTAAGTGTTTAGTGCTTTTCATGACAATGAGACACATCTGCTCCTGGCAGCAGCAATCTACTTCTAGAGAATGATGGGCATTGAAGAGTTTCCTTATGGAGTTTGTTAGCCATTTGGGCAAGAAACTGCTCCTGCCTGGGCTGCTTGATGTATTTTCTAAAACAAAAAAATAGTTTTATTCTCTGATTACATCTTTTTTTTCTATTATAAGCATCATAGTTATTATGATGGTTACCACAGATTTTTGAAAATATCTTCAAAATTAAAACAGCAAATATTCACTAAGATGGAAATTTTGGAAGAAGAAAAGGCTTGTTCAGGGATGCTCTTGTTATGGTTAGGGACCAGAGGAAGTACACTCAGTAAACAAAGACCAATATGTCTGCCTTTAAATATGACCTAATGTCAGCACTAAAACCTCTGCACCATACAAATATTTTATTGAAAATGTCTTTTCTAACAAAGTTGCTTTGAAGGATCCTTCCCCAACTTCCTTGGTTATGGATGACCCTGGGTAATACCGCAGAAATCAGGACACAGGGGATACAGAGTAGGAGATACAACTGCACACTTTATTGCAAAACCAGTGTTCTTTTGTATAATACTCAAATCACAATTCAAACTAGATTCCTATAATACATGAAAATAGTTTCATAAACTAGTAACTTTTTTGCAAATAATTTCAAGAGCTTTGTGCTCCAATTAATCTAAGAAAAAGCCTGGTGTTTTGGGAATAACTCTTGCTGTAATATAATAAAAACACCTCATCAGAATGCAAACCACAACCTAATCAGAGCCTTGAAACTACAGTGCACATGTGTGTTCTCAAGGACTGACTATTGGCAAGGCACTCTCCTCATGGGAGAGGCGTGCCTCCTCCGGACTTGGTTTGCCAAGCTTGTAAGTGAGAATGCTACTTCAAGTCACCCCTGCACAGAGTTTCTATGCAGTTCAAAACTGGTACTCTACACTTTTCAAGAGCATCAAGTGCTATTAATCACTGGTCATTCTCTCCAGCTCCATGAACCTCTTTTAAATACATATTGTTTCCAGTTTTCACCTAAACTCAATGTAATGGAACTAATGTTCCTGAAGTAATTTAGAAATTTGATTGAGTCCATAATATTAAGGAGAAAATCTAAAGATAGCAAAACTAATAAAAAATGTTAATCCCAGAAGTGTTGAATTATGTCTTGTGACTTCTTCTCTTTTGTATAAAATCATAATTATGTCTGTGAGCATTTTATATGCACAGACAGATACATATATGAATGAGACATCAAAAAACAAAGGAAATATAACATACCCAAACACAATTTTAAAAATTGATTAGAATTGTAATTCACTATTGTGGTGTTGGTGTTTTGCTTTGTTTCTAAAAATGAGCTATGGAATATCAATTCTTCAGTAATACCAGCAGCTATGTTCAAGTAGCCCTTTACTGTCTATGCTTTTATATAAACTATTTTACATTGCACTTCACACCGTCAGATTGAAAGTCATATGAGGGTGGTTAATTTTTTTATTTTGATACTTATAAGCAGACCAGTGGCCATAGGAGGCAGAAGTGAAGTGCTGCACACAGCTGTGAGTAATAACAATCATGGCTGCAATTTCAAGGCACTACAGAAGACCATGATTAGGAAACTTCCCCTTTCTCTGACACATGTGCTCTAGCTTATGTGACAAAATCATGAATTCTTTTTATTGTCAGTTTTTCTAAGTAATATTTTACTGTCATTTAAATGTTGGTGCTTATAAGTTAATTCATTGTATTTAAATAAAGTGTGATTTGAATTTCCAGAGAAGCTAAAACGTTTCTGTACAAGTACTAGAAGGAGATTCAACTAAGAATTCTCACAGGAAATATCTTTGTCCTTTGTTAAGGCAGAAAATGTATTGGTATTCAGTATTGCTAGAGATTAAGAGTAAAAAAGATTGTTAGTGCTCAGAGAAGACTGTTAACATCTTCTATAAAAATAAATATCTCTGTGTGAGATTTTGTAAAAATCATGTGACATCTGAGAACCAGTTTCAGTGAGTGACTCATGAGGAGGGGCAGCTGGGCAGCTCAGACTCTCACTTCTGCATCCACAGAGGTTTATGTTATAACTTGTATCACTGTGGGAGAGTTAATAATACCATTTTGACAGTAATAAGTAGCAATATCTTCATATTCCAGGCTGCTGATGGTGAGAGAAAAATCTGTCCCAGACCCATGGCCACTGAACCTAGACGGGACCCCATCTTCCAAGCAACTTGTATAATACATCAGGAGTTTAGGAGGCTTCCCTGGTTTCTGCTGGTACCAGTTTAAGTAATAGCTAATGTCCTGACTGTCCTTGCAAGTGATAGTAACTCTGTCTCCCAGAGATGCAGACAGGGAGGATGGAGACTGGGTCATCTGGATGTCACATATGGCACCTACGAATGGAAACATAATATACACATCATTAAACATGCTAATAGAGGAACTCCCACAAATGCCAGTCAACAATAGCCACTGGGTAACAGTGAAATTCCAATTTTAGTCCCTTTTTTTAACCTGGAAACCAGAGCAACAGGAGCCCAAGGAGCTGAACAGGGACCCTCATGTCCATGCTGAGTCCTGAGTTCAATGATAACTGCACAGGATATGACTGGTATATGAAGAAGTCTTCAAGGCTGTGTAGTGAGTGCATGCAAATCACTGAGAATCACTTAGAGCTGGGCACACCTGCTAGAATTACTTAACTCCAGAAACTGAACACAACTCCTATTTCCCCAAATGCTTGAGGTCAGATCACACATACACATACGCAGAATGGATTTTAAAAAAATATAAATAACACTTTAGATATTACTTGAAAATTCATAACATTAATTTTGAATTTATGTTTCAAAGATACAATGGGGTTTGTATAAAGGACTATCACGCTGTCAGGAAATATGTATTAGAAAAGGGACTACTTTAACTCATTGGAATAATTCTTATTGGTTAAAAGAAATATACATCCTTATTGAGGTACTTTTCTGTGATATTTTGTTACATTTAAGAATATTTTTAATGTGAATTTTTTTATGATTTAAAAACAATCTTAACAGTCTTGACCATTTTTAATAAAGTACAAAATACGAAATACACATGTACAACTTTGATCTCAACTATACTTGTCAGTTGGAGTTTGGCCTCCATCTGAAAATGGAGGTTTTCATTACCACAGACTACATTAACTGTACCTTTGTCTCAGTTTGATATCCCCATATTTGAAAATTTTTCTGTATTACTATGTCTCACAATTCCTCAGCATGAGTGATTTACTTGTGATAACAGACTTGAACAATATAGAAGAAAATACTACTACTCAACACATGGCTCTACTGATTATTACAAATGATTTTGTCACTTTTCACTACTGTGGACAAACTGGAGACATCATGCTGACTGCAGCAGCAGCCTCACTGTATACATGTGCATCTCATTCTTAAAAAAAAAAAATACTAAGATCTTGTTTTCTTCCAATTTCCAGGAGTATCTATACATGTTTTGCTTTGGGTTCACCTGTTTATTTTGTTTGTCTAGGCTTGAGAACTATAGGCTTAATGTCCTTTGTTTATGGATAGAGTCCACTAATGAGTGAGTACATACCATATTCATCTTTATGCGTCTGGGTTATCTCACTCACGATAGTGTTTTCTATTTCCATCCATTTGCATACAAATTTCAAAAAGTCATTGTTTTTTACCACTGAGTAGTAATCTAATGTATATATATTCCACACTTTCTTTATCCATTGTTCCATTGAGGGGCATCTAGGTTGTTTTCATGTTCTGGCTATTACAAATAATGCTGCTATAAACATAGTTGAACAAATGCTTTTGTAATATCATTGGGCATCACTTGGGTATATTCTCAAGAGTGGTATTGCTGGATCTTGAGGTAGGTTGATTCCCAATTTTCTGAGAAACTGCTACACTGATTTCCAAAGTGGTTGTACAAGTTTGCATTCCCACCAGCAATGGATGAGTGTTCCCCTTACTTCACATCCTCTCCAGCATAGGCTATCATTGGTGTTTTTGATTTTAGCCATTCTGACAGGTGTAAGATGGTATCTCAAAGTTGTTATGACTTGCATTTCCCTGATCGCTAAGGAGGTTGAACATGACCTTAAGTGTTTTTTGGCCATTTCAATTTCTTCTGTTGAGAATTCTCTGTTCAGTTCAATACCCATTTTTTTAATTGGGTTAATTAGAATTTGAATGGCTACTTTCTTGAGTAGTATATATATATTGGAGATCAGACCTTTGTCTGATGACGGGTTGGTAAAGATCTTCTCTTAGTCAGTAGGATGCCTTTTTGTCTTAATGACATTGTCCTTTGCTTTACAGAAGCTTCTCAGTTCAGGAGGTCCCATTTATTCATTGTTGCTCTTATTTGGTGTGATAGAATTGTCTGTATTCTATCAGTCATGTTTTAAATAAATGCTGATTGGCCAGGCAGGAAGTATAGGTAGGTTAGGTGGGTCCACCAGACAGGAAGTAGAGGCAGGATGATGAGAACAGGAGACTGCTAGGAAGGAGGAATCCCATTCCTCCCAGTCCAGCCAGAGCACCAAAGAAGCAAGATGTGAACTCTCCCACTGAGAAAGTTGCTGAGCCATGTGGCTAACATAGATAAGAATAATGGGTTAATATAAGCTCCAAGGCTAATAAAAAGCCTGAGCTAAGGGGCCAATCAGTTTCTATCTAATGTAGACTTTCTGTGTGATTTTCTTTGGTGCTTGCCAGCTGTGGGGTATCAGGTGGGACAGAAACCCCAACAAGCTGGCCCTCATGCTACACTTATTGTCTGTGCTACTGTGGTTATACGTAGGAAGTGGTCTATCATACTCCAAAAGCATTTGTTCAACTATGTTCATAGCAGCATTATTTGTAATAGCCAGAACCTGGAAACAGCCTAGATGCCCCTCAACAGAAGAATGGATAAAGAAAGTGTGGAATATGTACGCATTAGAGTACTACTCAGTGGTAAAACAACAACAAAAAAAATGACATTTTGAATTTTGCATGCAAATGGATGGAAATAGAAAGCACTATACTGAGTGAGGTAACCCAGACCCCAAAAGATGAATATGGTGTCTACTCACTCATAAGTGAATTTTAGTTATAAGTAAAGGACATTGAGAGCCTATAATATGAGATCTTATAGAAGCTAAATAAGAAGGTGAACCCAAAGAAAAACATATTGCATTCCTCCTAGATATTGGAAGGAAACAAGATTGCCAGGCAAAAATTGGAAACCTGGAGGTGAGGGTGGGTGGGGGTAAGGGGAAATGGAAAGAAAAAACTGAGAAGGGGGATGGGAACAGCTTGGGGGAATGGGATAGCTGGGATGGGGTAGATATGCAAGCAGCAAAGTATATATCTTAATTAAGGAAGCCATTTTAGGGTTGGCAAGAGAATTGTCTCTAGAGGTGTCCCCAGGTGTCCATGGAGATGTCTCCAGCTAGATCCTTGGGCAGCTAAGTAGAGCGAGTCTGAAATAGCCCTATCCTATATCCATACTGATGAATATCTTGAATATCACCATAGAAACTTCATCTGGTGATGGATGAAGCTAGAGACAGAGACCCACATTGCAACACAGGACTGAGCTCCCAAGGTCCAAATGAGCAACAGAAAGAGGGAGTGAAGTAATATGAGTGGCGGGGCTGTGTTCCCAGCACCCCGGCCGCCTGCTTGGCTAGCTTATGCCCCGAAATAACAACACACAAACTGTATTCATTTAATCACTGTTTGGCCCATTTCTATCTAGCCTCTTCTAGGCTAATTCTCACATATTAATTTAGCCCATTTCTAATCATCTGTGTAGCACCCCTAGGTGCGCTTACCGGGAAGATTCTAGCCTATGTCCATCCTGAGTCGGAGCTTCATCGCGTGCGTCTGCCTGGGAGCTGGGAGCATGGCGTCTGCTCCCGAGAGGAGAGCTGTGGAGTCTGAGCTCACTTCCTCTTCCTCCCAGTGTTCTGTTCTGTTTACTCCTCCCACCTATCTTCTAACCAATGAGGGCTAAGAAGTTTCTTTTTATTTAACCAATGACCTTCCTCCATCAAGGGAGAACATGAGCAAGGAAGTCAAGACCCCGAGGAGGGTACCCACCCACTGAGATGGTGGGGCTGATCTAATGGGAGCTCACCAAGGCCAGCTGGATGATGGAGCATGTGATCAAACCAGAGTCCCTGAACATGGCTGACAAGGAGGGTTGACTGAGAAGCCAAAGACAATGGCACTGGGTTTTGATCCTACTGCATGTAATGACTTTGTGGGAGGCGAGTCTGTTTGGATGCTCACCTTCCTAGTCCTGGATGGAGGGGGGAGGACCTTGGATTTCCCACAAGGTAGGGAACCCTGACTGCTCTTTGGAATGGAGAGGGAGGGTAAGGGGGATGGGGTGAGCTGGAGGGAAATGGGAGGAGAGGAGGAGGTGGAAAATTTTAATTAAATAATAAAAACTAACAAAAAAAGAATACAGAGGAAATCAATGCTGGATAAAAGACCTGATCAGCAAGATTTAACTGTTCTAAATATAAAGTTAAATTACCAGGAAAAAAAGAAGATCTGTGGATGATCTATGATCAATCAGAACTCTGATAAGCATTGGGATAACTAAACAGAGAGATATACAACAATAAACTGTAATAGAGAAATCCAGTATTTTATTTAGAAGTGCACAGAACAGAAGAATAAGGGAACATGGGACATCATTAGTTCTTTACTACTGTAGACCACTTGAACATAACAGAATTATGTCAAACACTTCACCTCCTAGAAGAGGTCACATGAGATATTCTGTAAGATACAATATGTATCAGTCACAAAAAGAATCTCAAACATTTTTTTAAGTCTTAGCACACAAAACATCTTTTGTGAGCACATGGGCATGGTGCATCTAATGAATATGTGTGTGTACACACGTGGGTGTACCTGCAAATATACAGATCCAGTTCAACATTTGGGTTGATCCACTGATATATTTTACATTGTTTTTGCTTAGTATTGTTTTTGAGCATGGACTTTCATTTGCTTGGAGCTATCTCAGTAAGCAAGATGAGGTGGCCAGTGAGATTCTGTCTGGCTTTGTCTGCTTCTTCCACTCTATGGGCAAGAATTATGATCACTTGCAACTGTGTTTGGAATGTCTTTTGATGTGTTATGGAGGACAAACTCATGTCTTCTTGCTTTACAGAAAGGAATTTATGACTTGAGCAACTCAAATCTTTTTTTTATCAATAATAAAAATGGGACGTAATCACAAGTCAAAGTATAGATAATGAAAAGCTTATATATAAAAAGACAGACAGACACTCATACACATTTTTATTAAATGGGTCATAAGTGAAGATAAAATTAGTGAGGGGGCTATAAAGTATTGTAACACAGATGAAAAATGGAAGGACAAATCATAAAAACTTGTGTTATGTGGATAAAAGATGGGACTCCTCTGTAGGTTATATTAAAAATGAACAACAAACTTAAATGAGGTTTAGATTTGGAAATCTTTTTGCCAGAACAAAATATCCTCACCTTGGTTAAAGCTAAGATATCATGATTGTTG